AGAGGTGTGACTTGATGCTTTATCTTGATGTAGCCACATCTTTTGGGCATCCTGGCTATTCAGTGCAGGAATCTGAGGTTGCCATATCATCTTGGCTTCTTAGCCATGTAGTGCAGGAATCTGATATAGCCATATCATCTTCGTGTGTTAGCCATATAGTGCAGGAATCTGATATAGCCATATCATCTTCGTGTGTTAGCCATATAGTGCAGGAATCTGATGAACCCATATCATCTTGGCATCTTAGCCATGTAGTGTAGGAATCTGATGAACCCATATCGTCCTGGCTTCTTAGCTATGTAGTGCAGGAATCTGATATAGCCATATCATCTTCGCGTGTTAGCCATGTAGTGCAGGAATCTGATGAACCCATATAGTCTTGGCATCTTAGCCATGTAGTGCAGGAATCTGATGAACCCATATCTTCTTGACATCTTAAACATGTAGTGCAGGAATCTGATGAACCCATATCGTCTTGGCATCTTAGCCATGTAGTGCAGAATCTGATATAGCCATGTCATCTTCGCATGTTAGCCATGTAGTGCAGGAATCTGATGAACCCATATCGTCTTGGCATCTTAGCCATGTAGTGTAGGAATCTGGTGAACCCATATCGTCTTGGCATCTTAGCCATGTAGTGTAGGAATCTGATGAACCCATATCTTCTTGACATCTTAAACATGTAGTGTAGGAATCTGATGAACCCATATCATCTTGGCATCTTAGCCATGTAGTGTAGGAATCTGGTGAAAAAGATGATATGGCTACATCAGATTCCTGCACTACATGGCTAAGATGCCAAGATGATATGGCTACATCAGATTCCTGCACTACATGGCTAAGATGCCAAGACAATATGGGCCATCTCAGCCATGTAGTACAGGAATCTGATGAACCCATATCGTCCTGACATCTTAAACATGTAGTGCAGGAATCTGATGAACCCATATCGTCTTGACATCTTAAACATGTAGTGCAGGAATCTGATGAACCCATACCTTCTTGGCATCATGACCATGCAGTGCAGGAATCTTATTCAACCATATCTTCTTGGCATCCTGGCTATGCAGTTCAAGAATCTGATGTACCTATTTTTTCTTTTTGTTCTGGCCATGCAGTGCAGGAATCAGATGTTATCATATCTTCGTCATGTTCTGGCCATGCTGTGCAGGAATTTGGTATAACCATGTCTTCTTGGCATCTTGGCCATGCAGTGCAGGAATCTTGTTTAGCCATGTCTTTTTGGCATCCTGGCTATACAGTGAAGGAATGTCCTCTCATGTAATTGGTCTCAGTATGCACATTTGATTGTAACATTTGCTTCATGTGCTTTTCGTGACATTTACATTTTCAGTTATTTGAGAAGCTGCTTGTGCAGTTATTTGTGAATTATCTTGTGCACAGTTTATTGGGAAATATTCAATCAGTTAGCAGTCTCTTTCTGGGTAGGTAGATGAATGGATGACCAGTCAGCAAACTTTGACAGTGATATCAGGGATATTATTTTATTGTTATAGATAGATGTCTTGGAAATGGGTGTCCTGGGCTTTACATCCTTTACTAATCTTATTATTTCCTTGTATGAAGAATGAGATATTCATCATGGAAATAAACTTTGTCGTATACCTCCAGCCATAAGGCTAACCCTAGCAGTATTGCCTTTTGAATGGAAAGGAATGTGAAGTTAATTACTGTTCACGTCTTTGGTAATATGCCACTGCATTATATGCAAATTGTTTGTATAATGTGTAAAGAATCTTTCATAGATTTAATTTTCAAATGATATCTATTCAAAAATATGTTTTTATTCTAGAAAATGCTTATAAACTATAGTTTAGACCCAGCCAAACAATTTATCATAACAATGATGCCAAAACATGTAAAATAATTTTGCGATATTCCTAATATAAGACCAACTCATCTATAACTATAAATATAAATCATGAATATTTACTACTTTAATTGTCTTAATTAATCCAACAACTGCTTTAAACCAGTTATGAATGTCACACCTTTCAGGTTGCCACCATTTTACGTTTGTATTGGTCTTTTAGACTATAGGAACGAGGTTGCTAACTCGGAGTTCACATAGTAATCAAAGCTAATTAATTCTGACCTGATGGTTAGGGTGCTTGACTTGCAACTTGAGGGTCATGGGTCTGAATCCCTGTCGACAAACATGCTCGCCCTTTCAGCCATGGGGGCATTATAAAGTGATGACCAATCTCACTATTTGTTGCTAAAAGAGTAGCCCAAGAGTTGGTGGTCTATCACTGCTAAATTAGGGACGGCTAGTGCAGATGGCTTTATGCAAAATTCAAAACAAACTGATTAATGTAATGTAAAAATGTGAGCGAGGAAGAGGTCTACGCTGCACTGGACTCTCCCTGGTCCAAACATGGACCAAATGTTGAAATATGAGATGATATCATCTTGTATTGTACAGTTTAGTTTAACTTCAGTTCTGGTGGTGTTTTCAAGAGAAACAGTCATTCTTAATGTTTCTAAACTTGTGTATAGTCCAACTTTGTTTCTTTTACTTTAATTGACATTGAACATATAGGTTGTGTAGTCAACATTCAAGTTACTGTGTTT